TAACCCCCCTCCTCCCCTCACCAGGCAGACACGTTGCGTGGCAGGCGGCGATGGCGTGGCTGGTGGCGGCAGTAACACTTGCAGGGACAAGAGTTAAGCACCTGGAAGGGCGGCCAGTGGCGCCGGGCACCAGTGTTAGCCGACCCCACTGGAGGAGCCCCACCACCACCTCCTCCACCACCGCTGTCAGTCATGGTAGCAGCCGTCCGTTCGCGAGGACCCTCTCCAGCCGCGCCATTCTCACGAGTCGCGGCCCTGGCAGCGCGGGGTCCCTTGTTTCTGCGGGTACGGACTTTGATGGGCGTGGGCGCAGGTGGCGATGGTTCGGCCTTAGTGGGAGCTGGAGCCGGGGATGGGGCTGGGGCCTGGTCGGCAGCCAAGGCGAGGGGCGGGGCGGGAGCCTGGGCGGACTCTAAGTGGCCTGAGCTTGGGGTTGGTGGGAGCGCTGCAAGCAGTGGCATTGGCTCGAGAACTGGTGGCTGCGGTATGGGCGGCGGCGCCGGAGGCGGGGTGGGTGGTGGTTTGGGCGGTGGCGGAGGCGGTGGCAACTCCTGTGGGCCGGGAGGCCCGGGGCGCACAGGCTCTCCATTGGTGGGTGCTGGGAAGATGAACATAGGAGGCGCCAGCAGGGCGGGAGCGGGCCTCCGGGGCCCGGGAGCTGGGTGCATCTGCCCTGGCGGAGGCTGAGGGGAGCCCCAGGGACCTGAGAGCGCGGCTGCGCGCCGTCTGGGAGCCCCGATGCCTCCGCCAGCTCCATTGAAGCGGAAGTGGCGTTCAGGGCCATCGGGAGGGCTCACCCAGTCAAATTTGGGCTTCGAGCCTGGGAAGGTGGTGTAGGGTGGCGGCGGAAGGGCCCGGGCGTGGGACGCAGGCGCCAAGGGAGGTCCAGAACACCCCTCGCCATCTCCGTTACCGCCCTCTGCTTCCTGGGTCCCCCGAGGGACCTCTCCCGTGGAGCGAGCGGCCCCAGGAGCCAGGGGCCCTTGCTTCAGGACCTCGGCGTAAGAGATGGCGCCCGAGGCAGTGGAGAAGAGTCCCCTGCCTCCGCTGCCCCCAAGAGAGACTTTGGCGACTAAGGAACTCGACGCTGCCGCAGGGGGCAGAGGGGGCCCCGACTTGAAGGTGACTTTACACAGCAGACTAAGGCCAGACTCGGAGGCCGCAGGCCGGGCCATTTCGCCCTCGCCTGCCTGGGGAGGCGCTCCTCCGCAGGCCCCACCGGCTGTCGGGCACTCGCTGCTGCGCCCGACCAGGCTTTCTTTCGGGGTTGCGACGGGTGTGGCCAGAGCAGGACTTATTCTGCGGTCGGGGGTCTGCCGGTCGGAAGGCAGCGGGGGTGGCGGCTTTCGCGGCTCCAAGGGTGGTGGAGTCGGGGATGGGGCCCTCGGGACAGGGTCGGGGTCCTCTTCGGTTCGGGGCAAGGGCGGCGGCGGCGGCGGCGGCAGCGGGCGGAGGCTCGGAGGGTCGCCCTGGCCGCGATGGCTTGCCTCCAGCAGACCTCGGATCCGGGGCACCGGAGTGCCCGTGGGTTTTCGCCACTTAGACGGCGCGGGCAACAGGGTCCCCACGGGGGGCGGGGGTGGTGTGGAGACGGCGGCCGCAGCCGCCTCCTCTGAAGGGGGCGTCACTGGCGAGGGCAGTTCTAAGGTCAGGGGCAGGGGCGAGGGTGAGGCCTGGGGCTCTGGGGGTACCAGGAGTCCCGGGGCCGCTGAGCTGCTGGGGAACCAGACGCCCAGCCCGCGAGCGAGGCGTATGGCAGGGGAGGAGGGGGTCACCTCGGGCTCCGCCAAGGGCGTCCGGCGGGAGTCGGAGGAGCGGTCTGAGGCCTGCTCTTTTCGGGATCCCCCGCCCGCGGACGGCTCCGACTGCACGTTCCCCATTTCTGACGGAGGTCGACTACGGTCAGAAAAACTTCCACGGGTCAGTCTGCCAGGTCTGTGGGAACCCGACGAGGCTGGCTGTACTTGGTCCTTCCAAGACCCACGCAGGCACCAGTCTCTAGCCGCATTCGAGTTTCCTGACTCTCGACGCTCACGCCTTCTTCCCTATGACCCTACACAGCTGCTGTTCAGACACAGGCTCTGTCCTCTCAGTTTTATAAGGTTCCGTCCCTCCCTGGCTGCTGGTCCTCTTTACAGCGCCCCGCCCCTCTAGAAACCCCTCACCTTAAGCCCCGCCCATTAGGAACGCTACGTAGCTCCTCCCTCATGGATCTCATGCGCCCCGCCCCTCAGGTCGCCTCCCTACACTTTGGCCACCGCCCAGATCTCCAGGCTTCAAGACCCAGGTCTTGCCCGCTTTCCTGTCACTCAGGCCACATCACTGATGATGGCTGTGCTCAGTAGCCTGTAAGGCCTACAAGAAGTTCGAGCTTCTCTTCCTGCACTGTAACCCCACCCCCACTCTCTGGTCCCGCCCCCGATTGTCGGGGAATAGGGCCTCCTCAACACCTGCCCGGGTCCGACCCCGCCTCCGCCTAACAAATTCCAGGTGTTCTAGTCATGCTAAGCCCTAAGTCCTCACCTCTAACCCTCCGATCCCTTTCTCTCTCTCGATCATTTGGGGCCCACCTTCTACCTAAGCAGTGGCGGATCTTCAAGCCTCACTCAAACTCTTCCCGCTCGGGGGCTGCCTGCGGGCCTCCGCACTCAGGCCCCACCCCTTGCCCCAAGCTCCGCCCTTAGCTCCTCCGCCCAGAGGTTCCCACTCACCGATTTCTCCTGCCCACCAAAGTTCACACCGCGGCCCCGTGGGCCCAGGGCAGGTCGGGGAACGGCCGTAGCAGAAAATAACCGAAAAGAACGGGGGTGCGGGTGAAGGCAAGTGGGCGAGGCAGCGAGGGCGGACCCCGAGATCTAGGCCCCGCCCCCGGGCTCGAGGCCACGCCCTCCTGTCAGAAAGCTTTAGGCCGGCCCCTTACGAACCTGGACCTCCCTTTGAAATACTCGGGTGTCTTCTTCCTCGCTCCCAGGCTTCCGAGTTCTAGGCTCCACCCCTTCAGAACGTTCTCCTTAGCTCCTCCCCTTTACAATGCCCCGCCCCTCTATTAATCCCTCTCTCAAGCCCCGCCCATTAGGAACACTGTACACAGCGCCTCCCTCACGGCTCTCTCGCGCGCCCCGCCCCTAAGACAATTTACTCCTCAACTCCCAAGACCCTCGGTCCCGCGCCCACCCAGAAGGCCTTTCCACTGTCGACCCGCCCCCGCCATGACGCACTCGCGGGTCCGCGCCTTAGGCGTCCTCAGTCTCTCCTTTCCCTAGCCCTCCGACCTCGCCCCCTTGTGAATGCTCCCTTCTCGCCCCACCCCTTTTCGAACCCTGCCAGGCACTTAGCCCCTTCCATTTAGTACCCAAAGCATAGACCCTCGCCTCTTTAGAACGCTGAGGCCAGACCATGTCCAGGACCCCTTCCCCACATCCTCAGGAACCAAGGGTGCGCATGGGTGGCAAAGTAGGGGATCCTTTCTGGATCCTGGGAAAATGGGGGTTGGGGGGCTGTTCACTGGAGCCGGTGCCGGGCTCTAGGACCCAGCGGGCAAGTACGCCCGCCTCGCGT